CACACACACACATCATCCGCGTTCCTTTCTTCCTCGTTCCCGGGGCTGGCGCTGGACCATCTGCTCGGCGCCGGGTCTGAACAGCTTGCGGGCGCATACTGTGTCTGCTGCTGAATGGGAGCCTCATTACGACCCAGGCGCCGGCGAATGCTCGCAGGATAAAGGCGGCCGCAACCTCAAAGCCACCCGCATCCCGCGCCGAAGCACGGAGAGAGGGATGGGCGTATGGAGGGGCGAGCAGAGGATAAAGAGAGCCGCGGCGACATACAGGCAGATTAACAGATACGCAGGGAGCGTCATTTTAATAAAGGAAGCCATCTGATACCGACTTAGAAGCGACTCGCTAAATTGCTTGAGTTTTTAAAATGGATGGTCACCCATGGGATGGGATTTGGGGCTTAGTGTGTGGGAAAGAACGAAGTGGATTCTGTTTGCTTTCTGTCTTTAAAAGAAAAAAAATTCACACTGTCATCCAAAAACCCCAGGTTGCTCTCTCCAACTGCGTGCTCTGTATGAGCAAGAGAAATCCTGCACCCCTTGCATTTATAATGGGGGAAACATTGCCCAAGGTGATGTGTGCTGTCGCTGTTTGCAGCTGTGGTCACGTGACAGGACGTCAGAAGTCATGGGACCAATGTTCTATTAAATTAGCCGTCAATTTGGGGGGTCGTAGCAGGAGCTACGTACTTCAAGTGGGTGGAGGAGAGTAGACGAAGTGATGACTGACCCTGAGACTGAGAATTCGAAATATCAAAATGATCTCTACAGCCTTTTGGAGGCCCACATATGACTTGATGGGTGCTGGAGATGGAGAAGCCGGAAGTTCCTGTTCTGCTTTTTTGTTGCCGAGCATTATAAGGTTGAGAAAAGCACATTAGAACAGGCTAACGGTGGATCGTGTCGAGGCCTTTTAGGCCTTTGCCCCAAGCTGTCCTTCCCATCATGCACTACGTACCAAATGCCAGGTCCCACAAGCAGATTTCATCATTCAGTATGAGGTAATGGGCCCCCTGGTCCCCAGAACAGCTGAGGCATTACACAGACATCAGAAAATCGTGAGGTGAGACGTGAGAGCTCAAGATAAACAGACAAAGACTTCTTGAGCACATGAGGGACAATGAGTAAAGAGATCACTCAATTATACCTAATATATCTAGAACTTAAAAAAACATCAAGAGTCAAACCAAAGCTTGTGAATTAAACCCACGTCTTTGTTCTGCCATTTGTTGATCCCATTTTTGCCAGGACTCTCCTCGCCTGGTTCTCTTAAGAAGCCGGGAAAGTTCGATTTCAGCGCCCTGTCGCCCCAGACGAGGTCGCCCCGCATGGCGTTCACCCACCACCCGCTGCCAATGCTGGCGGGAGTAAGACCAGGTGAGACACAAGGCGCCCCGCCCATCTTTGTCCCTGTCCCCACCCCTGTCCCTCCAAGGAGTGAGGGTAGGAGAGAGAAGGGAGCATTCCCTGTCCGGGGACGAAAGCCTGAAGCTGATCTCTGCCTGAAACCTTTCAAAGTCCCTGCCCCAATCACAACAGTAGAGCTGAGCATTGATTTTTTTTCCCCGCCCCTCTTTTAAATTAACCAATCAGATTTGTTAAGCATTTCAGTGATTGTTCTCCTCCATCTGCCCCTCCCTGCTTCCTCCCACTTGTGCTGGTGTTGTGTTAAACTTTACCTGAGTAGACAGAGCAGGTCACGGCAGCCCCATCTTCTTATCCCTTCCAGACCTCTCACCTTGAGCATTTGGCATAGATCAGAGATTTGATCGTGAAGGGCTGGTCAGTCTGTGAATCAGTTTGCCTCTCCATAGCAGTCAGTGTGGTTTGTTGGATTTGATGGTGGCTTGGGTGACATCAGCAGACAGACCTGTCTGACTATTTTGTCTTCAGTTGAGGAAACGCAGAGGGTATCTCATTAACTCACTTCAGACGGGCCACTTGACAGCTCAGTCAGTGCAGACAGCTCTCATTCTCCATCGTCTCCTTGTTGTGTCTGCGTAGTCCGGCTTCTCCACCCTCCGTCCCTCCCACACCCCCTGCCCGTCCCTTGCCGTCTTCTCCCTGCTTTGGTGTGGGGGTTCCTCTTGCGCTTCCCCATGGGTGACTCGGTGTTCTCCGCCGTCCCTCATCCCTGCGTCTCTTCTCCGTTGGTAGATCTGTGTGGCCCCGCCGGTGGAGGCTTGCACCACCCCCTGGGTACTGACAGCATGGTACAAAGTCTGCTTCACATTGGAAATGGAACGAGAATGAAATGCAAAGCTTTGCTGCCATTGAATGTAATGGCGTATTTTTAAGATTATCATTGTCGTCAGCACACTGTCGGTGGTCCATCTAGCGATGGTTGAGTTGGCCAAATTTGAGTCTGAGACACAGCATATGGAGTTTGGGTAACAATCCATCTGCTGTGCACAATACCCTAACTTTTAAGCAAGGGGACTGATTTTGACCAATCCTTTCCAGGGCCTACATTTCTATTCCTGTTTTTATTATTCACCACTATGGTAGAATAGACCCAGAACAGAATGAGATGAGATTCTTTCTGCCTGATATAGGCACTCTGTTCCTCTATGTCACTGACCAGCACTGCAACTTAAATGTATATGGGCTTCACAGTACTGTCTTATTGGATAAACCCGACGCTTATCTCCTGTGATGTGCATGAATGTGTGTGCGTATGTGTGTATTAGTATGTATGTGATTCAACGCCTACATGACTGCATGTCTGTTTGGTGGTGCAGTCCATGTATTTGTAGGAAAATAAATGGGTTTGTGTTGATCTGTGCGTAGGTGGGTTGAGATATAGTGTTTATTGGATTGATTTAGGATGAGGGGGGGGCGGGGAGGGGGGGGGGGCACATTAGCTGGATGATGTCTCAATGCATAATAAGAGAAAGCAGAAATAAAAAGAGGCAGCGAGGGATAAGGAGACGCTGTGGGCCAAAAATGCCCCGAAGCTAAGATCAAGGGACATCTTGGTTATTGAGGTGACAGGACGTGTGTGGCGTCCTCTGTAAACCACTGATTAATGTTGTGTGGATACGGCTGGTAAAGTAATACTCGGACACTCGAATACATTCCTATTGATATAGCGATTTAAGTTTACACTCCATCGCATGACAGTAATCGCGCTCCTTGAAACTGCTTCACGCTGTTTTGATAAGCACGTAAGAAGAACTGACTGGTCCCTGACGCTAGGGGGCAGTATTTGTGAATGATATGGTTGTACTGTGACGTCCTTTTATAAAGAGGTTTGATATAGAAGGCCCTTGATATGGGGAGTGAGGGAGATTTAAGGAATATTTTAAAACACATTGTATTAGGATGTGGTGAGCAGGGGAGGTGTTCTACAAAGCAAGATTTCTACTTAAGCCAAATGTAAGGATTGTCCAATAGGAATGTCACTTATCTCTTCTCCTATTGGACAGTTTTTATGTTTAAATTATCCAGCCAACTGGGAAATTCTGCTTTGTGGAATAGCCCCCGGCTTGGCTTGTGGAATGCCAGTCACTTTGGAAAGGTTTTCATTATTTTTCACTCCTATAATTTTGCTGACTCACTTCCATTCTCATGTCACTTTGGCCCATTAGTGCCAGTATTACATGTTATGTCACCACCTCACCTCCGGAGGGCGGTGTGATTCTCCATGGGGTTGTGTCATCCTGCTGACCCACAATGGCCCTGTCTTTGCCCTCCCAGGGAGCCCCCGTGCCTCGGCCTCCGCCCTGCACTTCCCCTCTTCCTCCATTATACAGCAGTCCAGTCCCTACTTCGCCCACCCTACCATCCGTTACCATCACCACCCGGGACAAGACCCCCTCAAGGAGTTTGTGCAGTTCGTCTGCTCTGACGGTCCCGGACAAGCCGGCGCACAGGTAACCCCTGCACACTCCTGTCTTAGGTGCACACGTGCATGAATGGACAAGCAAACTCACATGCTAATATCTTACTAAGAGTAAATGTTAGCTAGTAAACATTAGCTAGCATTAAAGTCCAGTGTTAGCATTAGAAAGTATTAACGCTTTCAAGAGAGTTTCTGAGAGCGCTTAATGAAAATATCTGAGTCTGCTTTAAAAATGTGCTTCATTAACTAGCCAGTGGGCTGCTTATAGTAATCAACCACATATGTGAAGAGATTTTGGAAGTGAGACGAGTCGGCCAGACATGCTCAGATGAGGTTGTCAAGTTAAATATGTTTCAGATGAGCAATTGCTGATTGCTGATCTTAGGTCTTTGGCAGGGAGACTGTGCCCTATTAAGCTCTGAAGCACACATGCTAGTGTTTGCTTGTAGTTGCATAAAACCTGAGCTGCGCCATTGCTGCATAAAAGACTGTGTTGCATGCGGGTGTGTGGTGGTGAATTTTACGCTAAAACTTTTGGTCATGTTTTGAACATCCAGATTATGATTATTGCTTTCAAAACATCCATTTATTTTGTATTTTCCACCATTTCAGACAGGGTTTCCAAATGCTGCCTTCAAGCTCTCATAGATGAACTCTCTGCTGATTTCCCTCCAGCTACCGCGCACACCTTAGTCCAGCAGATGAAATTGTAGCCATTCATCATAATCACTGATATGGGGACAGTCTACAGTGAGGGCGGGATATATTCAAGATGGAAAAATTAAAGCTGCCAGTGTTCCTTGTGACTGGGGACGGACACACCTCATAGATACGCTTTAGTTGCTATGAATCATGTCATCTGTACAGCTGTCATTTTCACACTCACAATCTGCAGGGGTCCTTCTTCAGATTTTAACCCACGACCTTTTGGTCAAAAACTCCTTAGCCCTTTTGTTCCCTGTTCTCCTACGTTCCCCCCCCATAATGCCACTGGCGCGAGGATATCACTGACAGAGTGCCGCTGTGATGCAGCGCCCCTTTGAGATAATGCGTGGACAGGTTATACGTCAAACCGCTCGCGTCCTGTCTGTATGTGTCTGCTTTCCTTGAGGACTTCTGAAGAAGAACAAAGCATACCTTTAAACGATGTTTTAATGTCACTGTCTGTGTCTTGTCAGACTTATCTACTCTTTCGGAGGAACTTTTTTTCTTTTTTTTGCTCCGCCCATCCCCGCAGTCTGTAATCCCTAACAGGGTAGATGAAGGGTACCCGCGTCCAACATGGAGTCCTCTTTTTCCCCCCTTTTTTTGGTTTGGCATGCAGATGTGTCACGGCCTTCCGCGGGCTTGGATCTGGCTGCCTTTTCCCTGAGGATCACTCTGACCAATCCCATCGAGGCTTTAGCTTTGGACCAATCCCATCGAGGCTTTAGCTTTGGCCCGCCCCCAGATCCCTCATTGACATATTTTGGGACATTTTTTTTCCATTTCCCACATATCCGCACATAACTTTTGCATCACCTTTCTGTTGTGGCTTTGAGTTTGCATCCTCTGCCGGTGTCTGACCACGCGTCCGGAGCCACCCGCCCTTCGGCCGTGTGCAAGCAGCCCCCGCCGCTCTGACCCTGTGTGTGTCGTCCGCAGCCCAGCGCGAGCGGCCAGACCAAAATGGCGGGCTCCTTCTTGCTGCCGCCTCCTCCCCCCGTGGCCCGCCCAGTGCCCCTCCCCATGCCCGACCCCAAACCCAGCAGCACGCCCCCTGACGGCGGACTCAGCTCGCCCGCACCTCCGTGTAAGTGACGCCACAGACTGCCCCCCCACCCAAAGTAACAATAAAGACATTAATTACAGGCAGAACCAAAATAGATCCCCCATTAGCGATCCCAAACCATGCAGCATCCACCCCACCCTCTCTCAGCGACCACCCCCCCCCCCCTCCCGCCCCCGCCTGCCCCGTTACACTCCGCATTGAACCACTTTTGCACCCGGCCTTCCAACTTCTGATCTTCAAATCGATCAGTGGCAGGTTTTTTTTTTTTTACGCGCCTAAGCCTCATTCCCCCGCTGTACCGACACCCATCTCCATGTGCAAAGCGCTCTGGCAGGACAGCACTTAAATCCCCTTTTTTTCTGAGCTTGCTAGACTGGGACACGTGTGTGTCTGGGACACAGTTTCTGAAGCTCTCAAACTTTTATTTAATTTTCTTCTTCTTTTAACATTTTTTGATAGACAGTAAATTTAGGCCACACTGTCTGTCGCATCAAAACTCATGACCACATTGATTAAGAAAAAGAGGAAAAAAAATCCAGCGCATGATTTTTCAGTTCTTTGAATCCTGTAAGAATCGTTGGCAGTCAGTGGGTGCATTGCAGCATTGCAGTGAACGCACAGAGTAGTCATGGCAACTGAAATGCCAGTGAAGTCATTGGGGGACTTTCTTCCAATGAAGAAGTTGGATCATTTATTTTTCTCACCCACCATGAGGGGCACTGGGCGGAGCATTTTTTTTTCTTTTTCCCCCTGAATTTTCTTAAATTATACCTTTGTTAAAATTTAATTTGAAATTGTTCTTTTTTGGTTTAACTTTTCATTCTTCGTCTAATAGTTTTTTTTTTGTCTTGTTTCTCTTGTTCGAGACCGTTTCTTTCCTCTGTTCACCACCCGACAGACTGTGTGCTCCCCCTTGTTGTCAGTCTCTCCCCCAGTCTTCTCCCAGTTCACGAACACAACATACTACATTCCTGTATTCGTCCGAAGCCCCCCCCCCCCCACATCCTGTCTACGTGTGTCTGTGTATACGGAGGAACCAAACATTTTAGTTATGAGTCCCGCGGCGGACCAGGCCTTTCCCACACATCACTGGAGTTTCTCCTCTCAGCTCACTTCTGTGACCCTTAACTATGGGGATAGATACCAGCCTGCACTTCACAGTCTCTTCTGAGCTGAAGTCTGTTTCATTGTATTGCATGGAGGTCGAGTCAAGCATGAACTGGTCTATGGTTTATGTTATTACACTGGCTGTTGCCTTGACTGATTCCAAGCTGTACAGCAACATTTCTCAGGGTTTTGAGCCAGTGTCCAATGCAGGTCTTTAACTATAGTGCCCTCTGCTGTACACCGCAGGAATGGCATTGACATTCTTCTTGTTAGATCCGTTTCATACATTATGGCTGATACAATAACAGCAAGTGTATAGGCGAGTAACTGACAGTGACATGGTACTAATTACAGTGAATCCATATCAAAATAAACACGGATAACTGATTTTTGATTATGTTACCCATTTGTACAAGAAATTTAAAAAAGCAATATTCTGTAAAGAGGCAGGGCCAGGCTAGAGCACTGTGGCTCATTTGACAGCTGTCTCTAAGACCAGTGCAATGAAACTTCAGTTGAGAGCAGTTCAGATCAGCTCGGCTGGGGTCGGTTGAATTGAGTTCAGTTCAGTTTGGACTCTCTCTCTCTTCCCGCAGCATACCCCACGCCAGGCCCCACAGCTCCCAACAGGTTTGTCAGCATCGGATCACGGGACAACTTTCTGAACATCCCCCAGCAGACCCAGGTAAGGCTCTCATAAAGGTGCCACTAGCCCAGATCTATCAAACCTGCTGGGTGTATTCAGAAGTGCTTCTTTTCCAGCTCGAAATGTGCCGTCAGGATGTGTGCAAAGTGTAGCCAGCTTTGAAATGATTACGGTCAGCCTGTTCTCACTGCTGAACTGGCTGCTGTGAGCGAAGACACTGCATTTCACTCTGATCGATCAATTTCTACTTTCTGGTTGTTTGAGCACAGTGTGTGTGTGTGTGTGTGTGTGTGTGTGTGTGTGTGTGTGTTTTGACACCAACAAAGGTGTCAAGCTGTGAAACATAATACAAGGCTTGTTAAAGCACGAGTGCTATTGCTCATGTCCCAGTCGTCTGGTTGCCGGCTAGTGATTCCTGGGCTAACACTGCATGCAGTAAAACTAAACAGTGCAGAGTCAAACCATGCCCACCTGAAGTCAATCCGGCTTGACACTTCCTCACTTGGATATAATATGCACGCCTCCCTCGCTCCCACTCCCTTACTCTGCTGTCCATCCCTCTCTTCTACCTTCTGCCACAACAGCACTGCAGGGCTGGCCCCCACGTTACAGCCACGTGTCGGTTTCTCTGGGACGCTACATCTCTGTACTCAGAAAAGCTACGCTGTTCTCAAATTACCCGTGGCCTGAGAGATGATGAGTAACAGACTACCTCCGGGCCAGTGCGCACAGCCCAAAGCAGAGCTCTGCGCACTGCCAGAGGGAGGCAGTGAGATGTTGCACTGCAGCGTCACCTGGTGGAGGAAGCGAGGGGATGGTGTGTGGAGAGGAATGGCACTAAGCCTGCAGGAACTGTAAGCCATGTTCTCCTCTGAGGAGTCATGTCCCAGTCGTCTGGTTGCCGGCAGCAACGAGACATGATGTCATAGCTAGTCTAACATGGCCTTAATGCAAGGGAGGAGATGTTTATTGGGGAGGGGGCTAGTTTAAAAACAGGGTTCTGCCAAGGATCGCATGGAGGGTGAGCGAGATGCAAGAAGGGGGAAATTAAGGAAGTGGGGGCCAATACTCATAAGCCCTGCAGCCTGAGGGAGAGAGAGGAGAGCTAAAGGAGTACAACAAAACAGGCGCTATTTCCCAAAGCAGCGGTTTCCAGGACTTCACTTCCTGAATGTTTCTGTCAGATTAGAGTCAGTGGTCCAAAGTGGCCTTTAAATATCGCATTAGACCGCAGGCCCCAGATCCTACGCAGGTCGTCCATGCATTGCACCCTGCAGCTCTCAACGGACCAAACTCTGGTCTGGAGGCTCTGGAGATAATTTCACGCAGAGGCCTGTTTGCATCCGTAATGCATAAAGTGCACAAGCCAACTCCAATGAAGGAATTGTTGTACTGTAGACAGTTTTTAAATGTGCAAAGTTTGTATAAGACTTAGTGCCTTGCTTTAAGGTACAGTATGAGTTTCAGTTCTGGCTTAGTAAAGTTCTTGGGTTAAACTTTCAGATGTTTAAACACTGCTGCCTGCAACTCAATAAGTGATTGCTATATTCACTCCATTTTGAAAATAAAATGATATTTTGGATCAATTAAATGGTTGTCAAATTTCTGCCTTAGAACTGTATATTTAAAATTAATTGCTAAATTTGTTGTTTATATTTTTTTTCCTGTATAATGTGATGTAATAATTTCACATTAGGGTTTCTCCAATCTAGTAACGCTTCTGACCCTGAAATTTTAACAGACATTTATTTGATCTCTTTTTTTTTGTTTTACAGTCTTGGTTCCTCTGACAAGAGCTGGTTTGAATTAAGCAACTATAATTCTGTAAATGAAAATCAGGAATTAAAAAAAAAAATGACTCATCAGAAATTCACCCCTTAACTTATCTCAGAAAAAAAACATTTATTAAAAAAAAAAATTCAGAATGATCACAATGATCGGAATAATCATGATGCTACCAATCAAATATTTAGAGACATAAAAAAAATTAAAATCAGAAATCAGAAGAGGAAACGGAAGATGGAGAGTCATCTCTCAACCACGGAACAAAGGAGCGACCGCCCCACAGCAATCGTTAAAATCTTCGTTTAACAAGAATGTGGCCTGCAGTGGCAGAGAAGTCAACAAAACTGCTTTTGAGCGAATATAAAAAGCAGAGGAAACAACAAATGAATGGAGTTAATTTTAAGTTATGGTTTTCGGCAGTTTGTAACTGGTTCAGTGCGAGTGCTGAGTCTATAACCTTTAATCGGATCAAATTGGACTGTCCTGACCTGGAGGTGTGGGTCAGAAAGCGCTTGGTAGGACCCCGTCTCGCTCTGGGGGGGGTCACAGTGTCCTCGTGCCATGATGTGGCATGTGCAGGCCTGCGTCCCCTTTGAGATCGGTCTGCTCAAGCGTGACAGGAAGTGGAGACTGCGATCTGATGCGCCGTACCGTGTAATTCCACAGACTGGCGTGAATACTAACACTGCGACCGAACCGGAACCAGCATGCACTGTCGGAACATATGAGGCGTTGGAACACTTTGTACATCCACGAATAAATGAGTAAGGATCAGTGTAGCCCCCCCCCTCCACGCCGGGTTGACCCCGGTACATCTGTACATATAAACACACATTATGTGAGCATGAAGCAGAGCCAGGCAGAGAGCCACACTGTCACTATGTGGCACACACAGAACATACCGGAATAGCGCCCAGCCCCGCAGCTGAGACGGCTGTCTGCATCTCACATCCTCAGCAGGATTTATTTTCTCCATTAGCCCCTTTCTTGCTATATTCCCTCTTTTCATTTCCGTGCAGATTATTATTATTTTTTTATTTTAGTTTGGGTTCCTTTTTTATTCTTGCACTATCCATGTTTAAGTTACAGGCGCTCATCTCAGACCCCCCCCCCCCCCCCATACAGTAGCACTGACACGTGGCTGGAGGGTCAAAGGCCAAGGCAGTCTGCCAGCTCCTCACCACCATCCCCCTCTGTAAGGTTTTCAGCAATGTTAACATTCCCCATAGCTTTGGGATGATGCCAGTGGGCGGAGTCACCTTTAATTATACTTCAGGGCTGTCGGGGAGGCGCTCGCTAGGACTGGATTCCAAAAAAGTTCTTTCGTAATTGCAAATAAAAATATTTGTGTGGCAGTCTGCATCCACACGAAGGGCTTCCTGTGGTAGTCTGCGTCTACACGAAGGGGGTCCTGTGGCAGTCTGCGTCCGCACGAAGGGCTTCGTGTGGAAGTCTCACAACACACAAGACACGTTTTGACTCCCAGGCCTCTTAAGTGACCCCTGTACCAGCTGCAGGTCCTTCCGTTCCGAATCTGATCCGTTCCGGTCGCCCTTCACGGCTGTTCCAGGCAGAACCAGGGCCCATAAAATTCAGCTCGTTTTCCCTCTTGCACCTCATACATCACCAAAATAGTGACCCACCCCCCCAAAACCTCTAAGCTGACCACCGCAGAGCGTAGTGCTTCAGGACTGTCATGCCCTCACCGTACCAACTGTAGAGCGCATAGAGACCACTGGCAGCTTGGAGCCCCCCCCCCTGCACAGCTACATCACTACACTACCCCAGTCAACACAATCACCCTAAAGCTCCAGGACAGGAAAGCCCCTTCTTTTGGGTTACATAAAGCTTTTTATTTCACTTTCCCATATTACTTTTTAATTTTAGGTAAATCTTTGTATATATTTCAAAGTTCAAACCACTGACCTCAAAAAAATTTAATAAAAATAACTGGACTGCCTAACAGTTGGTTTCATTGCAGGGACAACATTGTAGCCAGACAGTAACCTCCTGATCAGCTTCATGGAGAGATAAGATGATTTCATTTTTCATCTATGGAAAGTGCCTCTGTATTCCCATTATGCAATCTGTTGAACATGAAGTCAGGTTTTGTCTTTCACATATAAGCTTTGAAGAAATGTTATGTCTGGGAATCATTGGTTTTACAAATAACAGATGACTAAAAAAGATTGCAAGCATCTTAAGTAATATATATATTATACACATCTAAATGTATTTATGAATATATACATTTTTTTATTTGCAAAATAGGCAGTCTAGTTATTTTCAATGCCTGGCACTGTCAATGGTACACCTTAAACTGCAAACTTGTAAAAAAAAAAAAAGACTAAAAAAACCTTCACAGTATCCAGAAATATCACAGGAATTCCACTGCAAAAATTGCTTTTACAAAAAGAAGTGGCAATAGATTCGAGGCAACAGATACAGCCTAATTTTCTTGTATTTTTTTCCAGTTTGGATGGAAAGTATTATTGAGAAATAATGTATGTTGATTGAGCCATGTGCAATGGGTAGATAATTGTGTTCGTCTGTTAGAGGTTGTTAAGAGCGTTGAGTGAAAAAAGAGGAAACCTTTTTTTTTTTTTTTTAAAGTCCTTTCGCTTTGGGACTCTAAACACGAGCGGAGAAAAAATCCTGGTCTTTGTATGTTTGGGGAAATTGTTAAAATCTTGTTTTTGTTTATTCCCTTTTTAATGTTTTATTCATAATTGTTTTTAAACATTCATGGGAGGGCTGAAGGAACAATTACATGGAATATCAAGAAAAATGATATATCACTAATGAGACTGGTGCTTTTTACTATATAAAGTACATTTAAACTTTATTATACATAAATAATGATAAAGGAAATTAAGTGTTGTCATAAAGCACATTTAGGAAAAATGCATTTTCTTCTATTTCTCTTTTTGTATCTTGGGGGGGGGGGGGGTTGGTTATTTTATTTGCGGTTATGACAAAAGGCATTTTTATTCAACCTTTACGCAGCTCGTTAAGAGTCGTCACCCACAGCATGGGAGGACGATCATCGATCTCTAACATGAAAATCGAAGTGTCCCTTTTACAAACGTCAAAGGCTAGAGGTGAACGTTAGGCCGCACGCAGCTAAGCCGCACGCAGCTAGGCCGGCACGCCACGCAGAGCAGTGCAACACGGGCCCCTAAATCCAAGTCTGGGGTCGGCATCCATATCTCAGCAGACAGAATCTAAAGAGATGCCCTTCCAGCATCCCATTACACAGCTGGAGCCAGGAGCCAAGAGCTTCAGGCTCTGAGCACGCACACACAAACATGCGACACACAAGCAAACATGCGTGCTTTCTATGCCCGTCTTCAGCAGCGGTCTTGGACAAGATCTTCCCAGATTTGGAAGATGCATCAGACAGTGGGAAGCTGCCCCTAGCTGACACTGAGCAGTGCCGAAAGAGACGAGCGGAGTGGTCTATGACATGGACTCTCTTCTTGTCGATACAGCAGATCAGCACCTCTGTCCCAGCACTCCGGGTGGAGAGCAGATGCACATTCACGTGACGGTCACACATCCATGCGGTCATGCAGTGCAGATTTGGAGCATTTAAAGGTTGTCCCTGAAAAGTGCCTTTTGTCCACAGATTCCAACTTGTAATCCAGAGTGCCCTTCTCAGTCCCTTTCCTCTTCCTCCTTCTGTATCCTCCTCTTCTTCTAGCTTTTCAAAGCCGTATATATAGTACTAAAGACAATTGGTGTGATTTAGCTCTTTTTATCGTTAAATGATTAAGAAAATACAAAAGGCAAAAAAAAAAAATGTCTTTCTCTTGCTTTCCTCTGTCTATCCTTTTTCTCTCTTGGACACTGGAGTAGTCTAGCTGTGCATCTGTCCCCCCTCCCCAACCCCAAGCAGAGGGGTTTATAAAAATTTGCAAAATCTTTCGTCTGAGCAGAATGCAGTAAGCTCATGTTATTCTTGTCTGTACGCTTCACGATGTATCACCATACCCAACTCTTCAGCTTCTCCATTGAACAGCTAATGTAAGTGAACAAGTTACGCCTATGGGCTCTTATGGGTAGCGGCTTTGGGGGGGGCCGGCAATATTGGGTGATTTACCTTGGTGTGGGGGGGGGTGTAATAAATGGGGAGAGGGTATTATTTGGCCTTGAGATTACTCAGTCAAAGGAACTTGATTTGCGGTCACAAGTCGGGGGTCACAAGGGGACGACATACGAATTGTGTTTTAAGCTATTTATTCTGTTTTTTATAATGAAATTTGGTTTTGCTTTGATATTTTTGTCATTTGAGGAAAAACAAAGTAGGCAAGATATAGGCAGCAGGAATTTATGCTAATAATTTTGCATTGTAGAGAAATTGCACCTTTTCAGTGGTTGTATGAGACCATCTGTTTAAAGTATTAAGCGGGAAATAGTACCTGAGAGCTCAAAGCACCTTATAACCGCCTGAGTTCATGCACGGCTGGGCGCAGCAGCTGAAGTTTACACAGAGAAACCCTAAATTCAAGGTTTCAGAATGAAGAAACTTAATCTGGATTTAGCCTGAGGCTTTTTGATTATCTCCTAGGCTGCCTGTACATTTGTTTCCCTGTGGAGACAGTAAAGTTGAGAAAAGTCTTGGCATTAGTTGAACATGAGAAACTGAAAATAATAGGTTGACCATGCACTGGTTAAAAACGTAACCCCTCCTGCTGCCCTCTACTGGAAATGGGGCAGCCCTGCGCTCAGTTTGCATGGACCAGCCATGTTTTTGTTCTGTTTGTTCTGTAGCACCGTATAGGCCAGGCTATGAGTGGCCCCGCCCCCCACTGTGACCTCAGCGTCTGTGTTCCAGAAAGCCCTGCCCCTAGAGCCCATGGTGAAATGCATGTGTTAATTACTGTTTTTTTTCCATGATAATAAAAGCAGTTCCTAAAGAACAGCACCTTTAACTGGTTGAATAAAAGGATGTTCTTGGCTGTAACCCTGTGTCGTGGACTCCTTTTAATGCATTTACTGTGTCGAACACGCATATTATTGGAGTGGTGCATGCAATGTGATTAGATGAAATATTCAGCTCATTTTAAAATATTAGTAACAAAAATAGAAAAACAGCTGGCAACGATTTATGAGGGATAATTGTTCATGAGTGCAGACTAACGCTCATTAACAACTGATGACACAAACACTCAATATTTTTTGTCTGTGGGCAAAAGTAGGCTCTGCAGATAAAAAAAAAAAACTGTAGTTTTTATTGTTTTTGATAAATATATTTTGAAATTAAATTGTGGAGATAATTTGTATTAATTTTAGTTACTTTAGAATATCATGTTCTGTTTTATAGGTGCTGTTGGTATTAATAATATGAAGTATAAGTATCTGACCTCTGATAGAACATTGCTTCTGATATGCAACAAAGTTCACCGGGAGCCTGTATCACGAAGCAGTATTTGTTACTTAGCCGGATCACTTGTTGGATTTAAGGTAGTCTGGGCTAAAGGTAAGTGGACGACGATAAGGGCCATTTAATCAGGGGCACCATAAATCTGACAGATTATCCAACTGAGCGAGGAAATCCTGCATTGTGGTATAGGCCTCTGCAGCTGGATTTTATAAACAGTTTGAACACCTTATTTAAGGAATTAAATGAAAGCGATAATTATTCATTCATAATCAAATAAGTTCTAATTCATCCACATGGGTAACCCCAGATCTAGTCAAACCCCTTCATGAAACTTTTCTCATAAGTTGGTTTCACTGTCTTTTTCAGTATAAATGGATGCAAGTCATGTGATATTTGATGGACCAAAGGATGTCTGTCTGTTAACTAACATGTAAATGTGGCTGTAACTTTAAGCAAAAAAGCCTGAAAACACACAGCAACAAATGCCAGATGAGTTATGCATTTTACTTTCTTACGTAATCCACACGTCGGTCCATTTTTATCTATTTAGTTTGTTTGCCTAGTTCACTGAGTAAAAATATTTATTATAGTATGTATTGCCGAATGTATCTGTGTATAACACTGGTTTTATGCTGTCCCTGAAAAGCTACTGATGTGCTGAACAGTCCAAACTCCAAAGGCGATGGTTCTTTAGGCTTTTTACATTCAGACGTCTAATCTTTGACGATTAACCCCCAAGCCTCTAAATAAATGTTAACAACTGGGCTGTACAATAACATGGAATAACATGTCAGTATGACTCATGTGGTTCAGTAGGAAATGACATTGTGACAGGGCTGGATTGGCCAACTTCAATAATGGGCATTTACTTGGTGGCCTGAAGGGTGGCAAAATTTATTGTGGGACCCCCAGTTTTGCTAAATTCATCATGGGGAATTCCCCCCTTCTCAGTTGTAAAAAACTTGTCATACCACACCCCCCTCGGCAATATTTACCGTGGAGGGAAATTTAGTCCCAGTCCGACCTTGGTTAACAAGGTCCCCTTACGTTCTCCGGAGACCAGGGTTCAAGTCCCTGCCTGTCATCGGGGTTTGTTCTGCTTTTCCCCTCTGTCCACAAACATGCTAAGGTGAAATGGAGATGCCAGATTCTCCGTGAGTGTTAACTATTGGGCTATAACCTCCTGAGATCCCACCCATTCCTTTATGTCCATTGTAGTGGACATTTTATTTTTGCATCTCTCTTTTCACTGATGTTAGGAAACGTATTCATTCCTGTCGTACACTAAAGAGGACATGCTGTGAAATTAAAAATAAAAATAAATTTGAAAAAATCTAAATTGTAAGATGTAATTTCCTCCAAAGACAAATAACCTAAAATTGAAGGGCACTTTTTTTCCTTGGGTCTCAGGAGGTTATGAATAGATGTATCAGTCTACAGCTAGTTCTAGCCTATATTTGACAGAACTGTAACTTTCCTGCACAAACATTCCATAGATTTCCAACTATGAAAACATATGTGATTTTTTTTTTGATTAACCAGTCAGGGTTGTCCTGCTTTGCATATTGTATACTATTCTCGGTTCAAATTCAAATATACAAGCCATATAAAATATATGAAAATAGAAATAAGACAACAAGAAACTGAGCAATTTTATTGTTTTATGACAAATAGGTGTTCAGTTTGAAGCTGATGCCTGCAACATGTTTCATAAACATATCAAATGATATTAATGTTATTACACACAATAATAATGCAATTTTATTACGGCTCTGCTGTGAAAGTACATTCTAAACCCATCCAGCTCATTTCCAGAGCATGACGGCCAGGTGAGTCACAGTTTTTAATGCTATTATTTCATCATGCATATTTCATGTTATTTCCTACTTGCCAGATATACATGTTAATAAAAATGTACAATATGGTGAGTAAAGTTAGGCAATATGTAAAAATGGAATTATTCTAGGCTTCTGTTTGTGAGTATCTGATGTGGTAATACGATAGCTGATTGCTGAGTTTGGATCAGTGCACACATATGTGTCTTATGAGTGATTGACAGCTCCTTCCTATTACCTATATGCTGTTTTTCCTCATTCAGAAACAAGCAAATGGTGAAAGCCGGACAAAATGGCAGATACTGAGCGGCCTGGGACATGTGGGAGGAGGTCATTGACTGGGGAGCGGAAGATGAGGTTGACTCCCCAGCAAGACCACCCTCTGACCAGGCTGATTGTCCCAGTGTCTCATGAACCCAAAAGCCGACTACAAAACCAATTAGTTGGATGGATGATGAATTCTGGCAGGCCTGGGATGCATGGAATGAAATCGTGGACTGGGGAGATGATGGAGGATGGGTGATGATGGAGGATGGGAGATGATGGAGGATGGGAGATGATGGAGGATGGGTGATAATGGAGGATGGGTGATAATGGAGGATGGGTGATGATGGAGGATGGGAGATGATGGAGGATGGGAGATGATGGAGGATGGGAGATGATGGAGGATGGGTGATGATGGAGGATGGGTGATGATGGAGGATGCTCGCCAGGAGCTCCACCGACTGACCAGGCTAGGAGGTGCAACAGCGTAAACACTCATGAGGTGCCACTGGCTGATTTGGATGGAGAGAAGATTATAATTAAGTCTGTAGCTAATCAAAATGGGCTCAGAATTGAACCCTGACTGCTGGACATCTTTGAGGTAGAGCTAGAAAATGTAAATGACAGTGATGTCAAATTTCAGACTGATCAGATACAAGCTGAACAAGTTAAGGTGAAAGTGAAAAAGAAGAAGCAGTGATATGATTGGAAATAATGATCAGCAAAATGATGTTAGTGTGGAGATAGTTGAGACAATACTAAATTAGGTTTTACAGGAAGAGCTTTGGAAGGAAGCAGGGTCAAGGTGTTTGTTCTGTACTGAAGGTGCCCTTGTAGATGACATGGCAGGAGAACAAAGATCAGGGAATGTCGAAGCACGGCTGGCAACCAGGCAAGGCACAGACTCAAGCTCGATGTCCTTTTCAGCCGGTTATAAGACTTTCAATTAAAAATCATTGTGAAACTAGCATCAGTCAAACACATAGATATATTGATAGTCTCTGTAAAATACTCTCCATTTTTTGTTAGGGTTTTTGCAGGGTCTCTGTCGGACGGGATGCCAGTCTGGGGACACAGACCATGATCAGTTTAGAAAGACCAGTTCTTTTCACTGCATGACACTGCATGCTGGTAGAATCCCATGCAATATTGGGTGGGCATGCAAATGCTAGGCATTCACAGTAGAAGTGCAAATTGATTCTATAACTATGCATACAGTAGTCGATATTCTTCGTGACTTAGCCTTACACAATTATAGTTACTACATTGATTTAAATATAACTGAAACCATCCCATCAAAATGCTTATCCTGCTCTGGGTCAGGCTCAGTTCTCTGCCTATAATGTTTTTAGTTTCACTTCTTTCACTGTATTTTCAGGAATTAAGCACTCCGACTGTACTGATTTTCTAGGGCCTTTCTGTCTTTGTCTAACTTCTGATTAATAAATTGACGAACAGGACCTGGTCCTGACCTATAAAAAAACTCACTTTTGTAAATGTGTGGACGTCCTTGACATGCCTGATTTGATTATGATTTTAGCTGCAGTCATAGAATACCCGATCAATAACTTGCCCTTTTCATTCAGTGCACCCTTGAGAGGACATTGTGGACTATCTACAGCTTCAGCCATATTCCCTTTCAGTTTAAAGCCTGACAATTTCACCTCCCTTGTCGTCGTTTGCGGCCTTAAATCCCTCCACTTGCTGCCTTCCTCGCTACCCGTCAGACCGCAGGGATCCACAGCCTGCAGTGCATGTGAGAAGCTCCCCATTCCGTGCATTTTGTCTGAGGCAAATCACTGAACAGCTGGAAGTATCACAGATGTCTGAATGTCTGAAAAACTGAGACCCCCCTCCCACCCCCCATGGGGGAGACTATCAGATATTTTTTAGTTGATTGTAGATAAGGTATCTTTACAGTGTGACATGGGCAGCATTAGCGTAAACACTGACAAATGTAGAATGAATTTGTCTAACAGGCAATATGTTTACAAAACAGTTGTTTGTAGACACATTAGTGATGACAGTGATTGGTACAATAGATCCGTCTGTGTTCCATATTCCCTTATCCAGGACAGCGCCATGGTAAGCACGATGCCCTTCCCAGGAATGATAGGGCGGAATGATATACCCGCCATGGCATGCCAGTGCCTTGTAGGGCAGACATTCACTCACACACAAAACATGGAGAATTAATTTCTCCTAAAGACGTATCTTTGGAGGGTGAGAGGACGTAAAAGTACCTGGGGGGGGGGGGGCTTCCACAAACACTGTGACCCCTTAGTCATTGCAGGAAGAGCAAGCTCACCGTTTCCCCTCCGCTCTAGGTCTCCCGCCTTTGGTACACAGACCCATGTACAACTCACCGACCCCAAAGGCTTTTCGGCAGTGTGTGTAAACATTTAGCGAGTGATCTTTGGTCTTTGTGCCACTATGACGTCCGCCTCTTAAGAAACCGAACCACACTGCTGTGCACACAAA